GTGTCGAGACGTATCAAGACTCAGTTCAGACTGTCAAGGATGTGTCAAGAATTTTCAATAAACTGTTCAGACTGTCGAGCCATATGTTGAGACAAGTTGAGACATGATTCAGACAGTCAACAAGAATGTCGAGGAATATTAATACATATTTATGAAAAATCTAGACAATATCGAGACATATAAAGAAAAATTCAGATACAGTTAGGATGTCGTGTAAATTCTGATGCACATTCAGACAAAAATTAGTAAATTAAAACTTTTAGACTTTTGTAGTGTATGCAGTTGCCAACGACAAAAAAAAGTTCATTAGTCGGATGACAAGTTCTGCATTTAAACGAAACTGTATTCATGCAGCTTTATTTGGCGATATTTTGGTACGACGTACACCTTCGAATTTGTTGTTTAAAACCTGAAAACATTCTTATAAAAAACACAATTGTGTTGCTTCCTCAAGCAACAAAGAAACACAACATAACAAATAAACAAAAAATCAAGAGGACGCCGTGCGGTTTTCAACAATGTAAAATTCCATCGGTCGTATTACCAGCTCTTCATTTATACCAAACAATAAAAACAAAACGAAAGAACTGTTTGCATCTAGTTTTCATTTTTCGACGTTATATCTGTTTCTATTGTCTTTACAAACGTATACACGAGAGACGATACAAATGATAATGTGTTAACAAGTGAAGAACTGAGATGAAAGGAAAGAATTTGGTTTCTTGTAATTAACTTTTTTTCTTTTTTTAATATATCTTTTTGTTATAAAGATAAGAAGATGTGGTATGAATGCCATATGAATATTGATGGTATGGAATCAATTCCAGATTAAAGGAAGCTACCGGAATTGTATAATAATATATTTGATGCATGGGTAACAAATGTAAAACAGGGCATCCAACAATCATTTGATCTTTTCGACACCCAGTAACTTTAGTGAATCATTTCATTTCACATGATTCACTAGAATAAAAAAAAAAAAACAGTGATACAACTTTATTTCTACTAGAGACCAAATGGCGGAGAAGTTGTATAGGTCACCATACGGCCTTCAACAATTAGAAAACCCAATACCGCATATCAAGTCATAACAGATCCCTACATGACATATGTAAAACAATTCTGAAGACAAAACCAACGGCCAAATGTACATTGTATGTACACAACAATAAAAAAAAACAAATGTGATATACAGCAACAAAAAAGTCAACCAAAAATTACTGGCACACATAAAATGGTGCTAAAATGCGGGGATTCCTAAAATGTCTGCAGGCACCACCTCCTAACCAACACTTATATTGCATTAGTGTCTTTCTGGATGTTTAGAGCAGTTAATTTTTCCTAAATTTTCCATATGTGAAATGTGTGAATGTTTCTTTTTAGTTTGCGAAAACTCATAGATATCATCGACGAATACAACAAAACAACCAGTGGCATTCAAAAAATGACTTTAATCTTTTTGATTAGAAACTAAAAACACCATGGCGAAAAACCGAAAATGACAGTGTACAAATCAGAACAGAGAAACTCAAAAATGAGCAACACGAACTCTACCAACAACTGGGTTGGATCTCATGTGCTCCTGATACTGCACCACATATGGCACCCGTCGTGGTGCTCATGTAAGTTCAAACTCAAAATAACAGGAAATAGCACTTTCCAGAAACTACAATATTTTCCGTATACAGATACCAAGATATGTTTAGGTAGAAGGTGGTAACTTGATTTTGGTGTTAAATCGGCAATGTTGTTTATTTTAAAACGACAGTCATGTGGTGTAAAACTAGTTGTGACGTCAACGTCTCACTGGAAAAAAGTTTTAACAAAAATACTGAATTCCAAGGTCAACTCAAAAAGGAGGGAAGTCCATAAAACAAGACAAAATCGAATGTTAGACTATAAATATATGTCAACATTCGGAACAAATGGAAATTAACTGTATGCTGATTTGGTAAAGACATTTTCCAATAACATAATGGGCTAAATCTAGTTTTATTGCTAACAACTAACCTTTTGTATGACAATTGTCTAGTTTTGCGCTTTGTTGCCTAATGTGAGTGAGCAAAAAAGGAAATAATTAGTTAATGTGACAATAATTTTGATCCAGCAGCCAAAACCGAGTGAACAAACATAACAGACATACAACACAATTGACAAAAAAAATCAAACAAAAGAAACGAATAAATCTGACAAAGGTTACAAAAAACAAAGTTTTTGTAGTTGATAGTACATACAGTATAAGAAATAAATCTGACAAAGACGCAAATAAAGTGTTTTGGTTTATAGTACATACAGTACAGTAGAACATAATACCATGCTAGTATAAACTTTTCCGGAAAAGTACAAATGAGTAAAACATGAATACAAGGATAAACAAAAGGAAAACAGCATTTTTAAAACCTCATGCATCCGACTTGCACCTCATAAAATGAAATCACGCAATATGGTTGTATAAAGAAATATGTTCTATTGTACTGCTTCTTTTTAACTAGATATGGTGATTCATTATATCATTATGAAGAGAAATTGAAAAATATTAATTTAAAAAAATGTCGTTTTTATAGTATTTGTGCAAACGTTAACTATTTTGTGTTGTGAGATTGCTACTCAGTATTCAGATCATGTACAATTCACATGGAACACAAAACTAAATTATATGGCGGTGAACTCTCCACTCGGACAGCATGGCTCAACATCTTCATCAATATTTCCTCGAAATTTTTGTAGACTTGAATATTCTGCTCTTTAAAACAAGACACAGAAGGCAATGTCAGACTCTGACAGCTTAAAACCTTTTAAAATCTAAAAATGTGTACAGTCAAACATCCTTAAGTGAACACCTATATTAAGCAAAAGCCTGTGTTATAAGACCATTAATTTTAGATTTTTCTGTAGTACATTTCATATAGGTTGAACCTGTATTAAAAGACCATCTGTCGTATGAGACTACATTTTTTTTGCTCTCCCTTAAGTGAACTCTGAAAACAGGTTTCACTGAATTCGAATAAAAACCAAATTACTTCATCTAGAAGTTCACCCACCCCCACTTTATCTGATTTAATTCGTTTTTCTATCGATTGAATAGGAGTGTAATCAATTATTCTATTATTGTAAATGTGGATTAGAGTCTCTTATCTTACCGGATATATTATCAAAATTTTAACCAACTGTACATATGTGAATCCCTTACCAATCTGAGCGAATTTGAAACACAAAATGTAGATGAAACTGTGGTTTCTAACATTAGTTTTACAAGTGATTCATGCATATTAATGTATTCTTACTGTGTCGATACACCTATTCTGTCATGACAGTTTTATTTATTCCTATATGGGGTTTTTTTCTGGATTATTGACATTTAAATAGGCAATAGTATATTTGTCTTGAGTAAGATACTGGTCACGTACAACATATCTGTCTTGACATAAACCTGTAAGCAAGCAACGCTCATTCAATAAATGATCATGGCAAGTTGTAAATCTTATACTCTTTATCAAGAATAATTACTTTTTAATTAGTGCATTTGTGCTGAGAGAAATATGCGATTTTTTAAATTAAAAAAATACATATGCTTCAGATGAGGCATCTTAAAACTTACATATAAATAGTATACATCATTGAGACATTTTAATTTACATATATCAATTATACTGAAAGAAATATTAATGGTTTATAATTTGAATATTAATCTACATGTATATAGTAAAATACAACTTCCTATTTCAAATACTTGTTTCGCTTAGATAACACAAATAGAAAAGCAACTATTTATAGCTTTGAAATTAAACGACAAGGAAAAGTTAATAAAATCCCGTTGAGGACTTTTTCAGGTGATGTTGAGATCAAAATTACTGTTAAAGACTAAACTTAATTACTTGTGATAGGTACGTTAATTCTGATGCCTCGTGTAGACTGAGTGCCACGCTCTGTGTACGTTAAAAGATCCTTTTAACAATTATTCGATAGATCCGCAGTTGGCTTAATGCAAAGCAAAATGGGTTTCCCTATACAACATGTATAGTCCAGTGGTAGTCCGAAATTCCTGCCGTTCATTCTTGTCGTCTGACCTTGCATAACTTACAAATGTATGAATTGCTTATAGTTTCTCGTTTTGAATATAAAGAACTAGAAACAATTAAAAATAAATTCAATAGGTATGTTATGCAAGGCAGACACACCGGTATAAACGGCGGGCATATTGACTGCCACTAGAAATGAGCTTGGTTGACAAGGCAGAAAATCAGGCCACCTACGGACACCTCAAAGGGATATCGCAATGTTATATAACGTGCACAGAACGTGGCACTATCATTACACGCTTAATGCCGAGTGGACGACTACATTTCCTATTTAACAAACTTGGTCAAAAGTACTATCAAGTTTAGTTTCAATAGCAAAACAAGATGGCTATAACAGTAAATCTTAGTGACCAATATTTCTATAAAGATGATACATTTATAAATCTGTTTGAAACTTTACACCGAAAGACCTTATTAAATGTATAAACTTTCTATTAAATCCCATTTTACACCTAAAATAAAAATTTCCTAAACTGGTCGCTCCACGGAGAATGTAAAATAGTATGACATCAATTATTGTATTAGAGGTCTAATTCCTGTAAATTTCGAACTAAATCATTCTAAAAAAAAACGGGTTTTTCATTGCAATAATAGACTTCTCTACTATGAATACAGGTAGGACAAAGGCAATTTAGGGGATTAAAAAGAAACTGTGTCATCCACTTCCTTCTAAGTGCGTTTTCATAAATAGTAACTCTCCTAATACTATTTATGATCAATCTCTATTTGTTGATCCTGTATTGCTGATAATGTGTCTGTTTAGGTCCGTATATTAAATGTAGTCTGAACATAGACAACATTAAATGTATAAATAGGACAGGGTTGCACAAATATAAGTTAAATTTAAACGTCCATTAACTTTAATTGACGTGTGTGCAATTCAGTTCATGTTTCTGAAAACAAATATAATATAAAGTAATAAAAGACAGATGTACATACAGCAGTTTTTGGTTATTATTTAAATTTGTTAACTGCGACTTAAAATGTGTCCAATCAAATTAAAGCATAACCTGACTTTGGTACATTCAAAAGATGAGGTTGCGTTAGTTGAGCAATAGTCTGGTTTACATTGTAGACAACAAATGTAAGTATTTGATTAAGATAATGTTGATGGTTGAAATTATCATTTTATTGGCAATGTTGTAATCGGTATTTAATTGTATTAATCTTTTCCGACATTCGTTCGTATTATTTTAATTCTAATAAAGTTAAATATCATGTTTGAAATATCACATAGTCTATTCAGTACTGGCTGAACGTTCAAGAGTCCTGTTAACGGTTGCAGATGGGTGTCCTCTTGGTAGAGTCTAAGGCTATTGTTAAATTGTGAATGCTGAGGAATAGTCAATTATATCTGTAATTGACTATTGTTACAGTTGGAGGTTTGATCCTCCGGAAATTCCTGTTCAACCAGGGTTGGCAAAATATATATCCGTGCGGGATAACTTTGTTAGGAAAACCTAGGTTTCCCGTGGCTGAACAATATTCCTAGAAAATGGTAATGCTTGGCAATACAGGGCAATAAGATATTTCACAGCTTTTATTAAAACAAATCAGTGTTTTTAAATAGTGTATTAAAGTGTAGGGACTTTACTTAATCGTAAAATTAAATTCCTACACTACACTGAGAAACTTCACTGAGGTGCATTTCATGTGAATCTTACGTGAAATTCACGCAAATTTCAACTCAAACGCACTTAAACGTAAAACTCACGTGAACTGATTTTATGTAAGGTTCTTCTGAATCTCATGTGAAACCCACGTGAATTGATTTTATGTAAGGTTCACGTTAATCTCATGTGAAACTCACGTGAAAATCATCTGAAATTTTTTTTTCACATGAAATTTACGTACATTTCACCTCTAGTGACCTTTAACGTGAACCGGAGGTTAACTGATTTTTCCGTGAAAATCACATGAATTGTTTTCACGTAAAATTTACGTGAATTTTTAAAAATTTTCGAATAACATCTTAATTTTCAAATTCAATTAAAATCATGAAATTTTAGGAGAATAATCTATAGATCTTTCGACAAAAACTATTCACTTTTTCATGTATGTACTAGAGTTGCTTGACCAATATGTTTTTCTCAAATTGATACAATATAAAATAAGAGTCTCAAAAAAATGAACTTATAAATCAAAATGTTAGTGTTCTCATATATCTTTGTTAAAACTAACTCATCTTAAAGATTTCTGTCAGTAATTCTTATTGATAAATAACGCAGAGTATAACCTGGTTGAAACCAAGTAAAACTAGGTTTTTTCAGTATTTGTCACTGAGTTTAACCCATTGAGTACATTTAAAAAATATCTGTACAGGAGAAAGTCAGCAATTCCACAGTCTCAAAGTATACCAATTATGAATGTCTGAAGATATCTTATACTAAAATTTACCAGTTGGACATTAATAAAGGTTATTCCTCTTTTTGATATTATCAGTTCTCTTTTTAGTGTCCCGTATCGCACAAACAAGTATGAAGGTAGTACTAGTATTTGGACTGTTTTTGGGAACAACTTTGTGTATGTATATTAATTAAGAAAGCATCTTTACAAATTTGTGGTAACAATCTTGTCTTTTACCAAACATACAAACCAAAATATAAAAAAATAAAACCCAACCTTCGATAAAAGAACTGTTCGATTACGAGATGCTATCTAAATGTGAAGCGTATATTAAAGTAACAAAATAATGTTCAGCATAAAGTATTTGAAGATTTAAAGAGTGAATACTATTGGAGATTTAAAGCAAACAACTCTTATAACAAAGCCATGTTACTACTTGAAAGGTCGAGATTAATCAGCTGAACTAGATATTGAATAGGTTTTTTTATGTTTGTTTCATTTTCAATTCAGAATCGCATGCGTATCAATATAAAATTTGGAACAGTTAATCATGTAAAGCTTTCCATCAGTTTTGATGGGAATTCGTGCTAATCTTTAATTACCTGCCTATTTTTTTCTATAGTGTTGTATATAAGTAGTTTTTATTTAAGCCATGGTGTCTGTTTTTCTTCGACTTATGCTTTTTAATGGCCTCTAGGTATCTTCCTCTTTTTTTAGTATTGGGAATGTTGACAATAATTCAATTTTCATTAAATTAAATGCGTATTCTTTGCATGTTGCAATGGAATATTACTAACATAAATTAAAATGAGAAATATAATCATTCTGATTATTGAGCTTGTCGAATTCTTCATTATTGTATTTACAGTATGTATCAATCTCTTTAACATGTCACTTTAATTTGTAGAATGCATATCTTTAGTTCCAATGATTACACTTTACATATTATCTAAAACAAAACGCACAATTTTGTAAAATATAGTTAGGGACTATTTTTATATTTAATCAATAATATTTTATCTTTGTTTTCAAGCATTTTTGTGATGATGTGGTGTAAAGCAATCATCAATCAATCACATATTTTTTTCCAGGCTGTACTGAAGATCAGTATGAATGTTTAGACGGACAATGTATCGAATCGAGTCAGAAGTGTGATTCCCATGTTGATTGCAGTAGAGGAGAAGATGACATGGGATGTTCTGGTAATAACATCGTAACCTTTTCTATTTAAAAAATGCCCCCTTTTTTTGTTGTTATAGATGGAATACAATTTGACGTTAGGTTTTCTACATCCATATATAAAAAATCAGATCAATATCAAAGGAATATTTAACTCGGAAGTTCGAAAAATACAGAAACAAATCCTACAATAAACAAAGTACAATTCATATCAAAGTCATCTGCGCATGTCATTTAATCTAAAATCGCCAAACAAAATTAACTTCAACCTTAAACCAGAAAGTTTACCTGGTATTCTTAAAGGGTTGCGTAAACCATAACGTTGCGATAGTTGAAAATGAAAAAAAAACACATTTTATAAATTTCGTTCGTCTCTCACGCTATTCTAGATACGCCTTCAAACGTTCAATACCCCCAATTTATGTCTTGATATCCAATTTTATAGAATTAGTTTTGTTAAAATTACACTGTAGATAGAAAATGTCTTATATGATTTCATACATATTATTACCAGTAGAAAACACCATAGATTAAAGATCACTGTTAAAAGAATGTATTAAATCATCTATCACATGTTCTACTGTTAATGTTATGCATCAAATCACTGAAGAAATTGTCTATTTGCAACATATTGTGAACAAAACCGATTCTACTAAATTTAAGTTCAGGCCAAACGTTAAAAAAACTTATGTAGCCTTTATTGTTCACATCTGGCATTTATGAAACTGTAAACGCGTATTGAATTTAAAATGTTTAAATTGAAACTTTTAATGATCACTACAGGTTGTGAAAGTTATAAGTTTAAGTGCGGTTCTGAAAATAAATGTATTATCTGGCCTTGGGTATGTGATGGTATGGATGACTGTGATGATGGCTCGGACGAACGTGGGTGCACCAATATTTGTTGGAATATCGACATCTATGGTAAGTAAAAGTATTTTCCTGACGGCAAAGGATGTTTAACTTGACATGTATAACAAATAAGCTGGTAAATATTATACAATTTGAGAAAAACAAGTTTTAATTTTAGAAACGATTTCATCAAGTGTGTATAAGTATTCTTAATGAAATTTTTATATTTCTGTACGTGCTGTATCAAACTTTCTGACTGACAACGGAATGCACTTCACTGGATTACGTGAAAGGGAATTGCATATAACGTTCACATTGCCAGTAGTTGACTTCAAACATAGAAGACAATAACCCAAAACAAAAAAAACAAAAAAATACATCAATTGTATATTTAAAAAAAAAACTTCGACTTAACAGAGAGAACAAGACCAAGACAATCTACATTCGATTACATCGACATGCGTACAACAGTCAACAAATGATGTCGTAGATAAATTGAGCAATGGTTTTAGGAGAATATATTTACATGTTTTGCATAAGTAAAGTCTTTTATTGATCATTTCCTAAAGGACCTTCTTCAAGAAAACAATGAAGTACAATGAATTAAAGAATAAGGGACACAATTATATACCCATCAATTGATAATACTGCATGATATAAAATTCTTGCTAAAAATTTTTTTTTACTAATGCACTCAATCCTTATTATAATGGTGTTAAAACACTTCCTGTTGTCTTTAAATCCTAGACATAATTACAAAGGTATATTTTGCACAATGTCAATATAATGTGGCATTACTTTTTCTCACAATCATTGGTTCATGTAATGATAGAAAATAAACTATTTTATTTTTGTGTTACCATTTGAATTGCTATTGATGTAACTAGTTCAACCTTTTGTTTTGGTCAGTAAACTGTTGAAGGGTTCGGCACACCTCTCCCGCTCCCTATTCGATGCCATCATACAAAAAACTTGTATTTGTTTTAATCTGACAATGACATAATATTGTATTTTTTATTTACATTCAGTCCACGGCAGTAGACGCAGTATTACAAGATCTAGTGCTGACAAAGTAGTATCCAGGGGTCTCGACAAACGATGGGAAGTTAAAGCTGCTCGCACAAATCTGTACAAAAAGAAAAACGAAGCAGAGAAAAAAACTAATAACAATAAACTGGAAAAGCTAATGTTGCTCCTGAAGGGATTTGATGGAAAATAAAAAATGGAAACGTTCGGAAGAATATCCTCACAAATAACAGGAATCGTCTATGGACTATGATATTATCGTTATTTTGATGAAAATAAATCATTACTATCATTCTTTACTTCTATATTATCAGACATATATGCCCTTTAAATCCTATATTTTGTATTAATGTAATACTTTAAGCTATGATTCATTTGATAATATCTTCCAAAGGTGTGGACAATAATTGGTGACAATGCATGTTTGTATTGTAAAATCTAAATCAATATGAAATATAAAAGGTAAAGATATGCTCTTTGTTCTTTTATATAACGACCAAAATGTTAATCAAGTGCGATTTAAATATCATATTAGACACGTAATGATAGTACATGATACACTGTAATATATTTTCTGATGGTATTGCATTTTACATTAACATTGCTCATTCTTACTTCTTTTTCCTTAATAAAATACTTCTTGCAAATGAATTAATTTGTGTTTTTTAAATATGATTGTTTGATTGATTACGACGTCAAATGTTGGTGATTATGATTATACAATAAACATAAGCCATAGATTTTTAAAATTTTCAATTATAAAGTCTCGACAATTTTGTTGTGTACGTTAAGATTCTTGGGAACATCTTGCTATTTCATATTATGTTTTTTGTTTTTATTTTTTTAAATTTGGCATCGAGCATAACTGACGAGACGTTTATAGTCAAAATGAACACATAGCGTAGTAAAGTTAATACTTTTATTGGTATCTATAGATCGATACCTTTGCTACTTATCAAATAAAAAAGGCTGATAATTTGGTACGCCAGATACGCGTTTTCTTTTCATCAAACTCATCAGTGAGTGATAGAATCAAAACAGTTGAAAAGGCAGAGTAAATACAATCTTGAAAAACAATTAACCCAAATATTTCCAAAAAAATGTGCCAAATGTTTCTAAACCCATCTATCATAGAAAAATCTGAGTGTTCTGAATGACATTAAGATTGATGAACAGTTTATTTATAGAGAATGACAACATCTAAGATATTTCATGGCAGCACAGAAGAGAGGAAAACTTGGCTGGTGGTCATCTCGGGTACGAAACGTCCACCAACAGTGATCTTGACTCATTGGTTGTAAAAACTAAGTAAGGGAAACCTGGCTAAAAATTTGGTACTCCAACCTTGGCACTCCAAATTCGTGTGTTGTCTGCAGATGACTCATCAGTGGGGTTCAAATTAAAACAGTTCGACAGGCAAATCAATTACAATGTTGAATAATATTGATAACAAAAATAATCCCTCAAATTGAGCAAATTCTAGTTAAGGCCATCTGTGCCTGTGTGTAGAAAAAGCTACGTGTTTCAAAGAATCATCGTTAGATGACCGCACCTATTTCATGTTAGTGCACAAGTGCTGACAACTTTGCTTTTGATACCATGGGAAACGAAACATCCACCGACAGGACCTGGAACCAGTGGTTGATAGAACTTTTAAAGATATGTGGCTTTTAATTGTGTTCACCAGACTTGCGTTTTGTACAAGGCTAATCAATGGCACTTGAATCAGCGTTCTAAATGTTTACCTTTGCTTTAACTTATATTTGGTACATCATAAAGTCATAGGATCTTTTACGTTAGGTTGCAGACATATGACCTTGAAGAAAGTCAACCGGAAGTGACCCTTCGTTAACCAGAAAAAACCATTTTTGCATTATTTTCATGTAAAAAGCACTTTATCTTTTTGGAATCAGTGTGAAGCCAGGTTCAAAAGACACCAGAAGTGAAATTTTGTAAACCGGAAGTACCTTTTTATCTACCTTAATTTAAGCAAAAGTATATGAAAATCATATATTTTCGGAATCAGCGTGAACTATTCTATTATCTAACACCAGAATTGACATTTAAAGCCGAAAGTGAATATTTTCCTATCAAATCATGTGCTTTTTGGATGGAACCACCTCAATTGTTCTCTGAACAATTGGTTTTTAATGTGTACATGTTTTTCCTGTGTATTGCTGTTACACCACTATCCCAGGTTAAGGGATGGGAACTCATAAACATGTTTATAACCGCCAACTTGTGTATGTGCCTGTCCTAAGCCAGGATCCTGTTATTCAGTGTTTATGTTTTATAGATATGGGAAATTCGTTCACAGATGAAGATGGATGAAAATGGATGAAAATGGATATGCTTTTGCCACATTCCTGTTCTTCATTTCTTTAATGTGGCATCACCTAATATTTCCTTTACAGAGCGAAACGAAAGTTGCCATATGTGGAGCAAAATCCGCTATACATTCGGGAACACCCGAGATAACTCCTAGTTTTTGGAAGGGTTGTGTTGCTCAGTCTTTGGTTTCTTTTCCAGCTTGAGTTTTTGAACTGTTATCATCATATTCTGCTAGAAAGTAACCTTAACTATTGTCAAATTAGACGTTCTTTCAGAAAGTCCTAACAGGTAACAACACCGATGACATCAGTTTGCGATTTTTGCAGCAGATTAAACTCTAAAATCCACCAAAGAGGTAGGGCCTATTTCCCCTGAAATTTTTTCACAGAAGGGCCAATTTCAAAAAGTGCTGAAAGAATAAAATTTACGATAAAAAGATGAAACAAAAATGTTTTTTGGTCAATATGTCGATTTTTATGTATTATGTTATGTCTGGAAAATAGTTAATTTAACCTCCAAAAAAGGATGAAAGTCAAATCTGCGGAATTTACCGTGTTTTTAGGTTGGAAAAACAGGGAATTCCCCTAGAAGGACACTTCAAACCAAAACAAAGTTATGTTTTTTGTTGTTATTGTAATTTATACAACTTTTCCCCTCAAAAATGAAATTGGTTTAGTGTGTCCTTAATGCCTAAAAACAACGTTTTTAATAAAAAGTGGAACATCACTAAATTTTACCTATATAGATGCTTAATATCAACTTTGTTTTCAAGAGTCGCCGTGGCTCCATCGGTATCGCTGAAAACTGCTAAAGATAAAAAAAAAAAAAATCGCTGAAAACTGTAAATAATGGATTGTTTTTAAAATGGGGTTCAAATCTCACGCTAATTTTTCTCATTTTTATGTTGAAATATTAAAATGTTATGTTTCTATCACATTTTTTCGGATGTTTGTTTAATTCAAAGAGTCACACTGATGTAGGTGCTCGTACATAACCAATAACACGAGAATTGATTATATAGCAATGAAGCCCAAATGCTGTTTGTGTTATACACATAACGAAAAAAGGCCATAGCAGAAAAATTTCAAAACAACAAAAACATTTTTTCTAAATCTTGAACAAGAACGTTTTAGAAAATGGTATGATATGTAACAAATGCAGACAGTAATTGTATCGCCAATCCACCAACTGTGTAGATACTAGTTCTGGCATTGTTACATTGTACCACCGTCCCTACACCGGAACCTAAGTCATCAGAAAATGAAACAACACCACAGAAAAAATCAATTACACTACCAATCGTGACTGTAGGTAAAACATCAAGAAAGTGTTGAATCTGTATCACAACATAGGGTCGATCCATTTGGTACAATGCCATGCAGAAAAGACCAGATTACATGTGTTTGTTACGCAAGCCGTTCTAGTACCAACTGGTGTAATCTGTTGTCCAGTTCATATAGACGGTAAACCTTAAAAAATCTGGAACAGTGTATAGATATAGATACATCCAGATTAAGATATACAACATCCCAGTTAAAAGCGTCCGATATTTTTTGGCTTCTTGGCATCAAAAGAGACCGATCTTGAATTAGATTAGCTAATTTATATCAGATAATTAGATTATTAAATGTTTCTTGTCTTTATATTTAACCCCCTTTTTAGGAGCCACTTAGGGGCATTCAGTTTTTCGGTCTGTGCGTCCGTTCGTTCGTTTGTCCGTCCGTTCCTTCGTTCGTCCGTCTGTCCCGTTTCAGGTTAAAGTTTTTGGTCAAGGTAGTTTTTGATGAAGTGGAAGTCCAACCAACTTGAAACTTAGTACACATGATCCCTATGATATGATCTTTCTCATTTTAATGCTAAATTACAGTTTTTATCTCAATTTCATAGTTCACCGAACATAGAAAATGATAGTACGAGTGGGGCATCCGTCTACTATGGACACATTCTTGTTTAATATTTTGTTAGTTTTAAGTTAAACAAAGCTGTGAAATACGTGTACGCTACAAATCACCTACCAACATTAACACGATAACTGAAGCACCATGTTTTGTTAATACAAAACTAATTTTGAATATCTATTAGTTGATACTTCATAGTTTAATGCTCCTCAGGGGCATTTACAAACAAAATATTGGTTTTGATAAACAAACAAAAAATCAATAGTCTTGGCCTTGATTATTGTAGGAATACCTGTTCAAGGTATGAAAATAGATGATGTGACGTGTTTTCATATACTATAATTAGTATCTATCGGGCTATTTAAAAACATGATTTAGCTAGCTAATCAAATGAAAAAAACTCACGGGAAAATGGCCCTACCTCTTTCCTTTGAAAACTATCATATAACCTTCCAATTTGACCTTTTGAAGAAAACTGTTTTTGTCGAAAAAGTAAAGCTAGAATTTGAAGACATTTTTCCATTTTTGTCTACTTGCATAGCTGTAGCCACCATTTTTATTAGAACTAGTTAACTGAGACAGAGAAAACTGCTAGGATATTTGTTCAGCGTATGAATACATACAGATATATGCATCAGCATTGTAACTGATAACTGTTGTTATAATCCGTCCTATTGCTTTTTGTATTGCTCTGAGGCTATCGTTATTTTGGTTAATATTAATGTTTTCCAAGATAATTATAACTGTGTATGATTGAAAGGACTATATAGAAACTGATGTTAAACTGTATATCAAAATCATGGGGTCATATTTTACCGATATACTTTACTTACATCAAAAAACTTCCCTACCTATTACACTTTGAAATACCAACAATACCACCTGTCGGAATCCGCAGCTCCTTGAATTAAGGAAGGAATTTGTGACAAAGTACCACTCAGGAAGGGCTAGAATTTCAAAGAATTTAAACCAAATAGTATGAAGAGTCTATCCTTTCTTCTAATTTTCTTAATTGGCAGAATAATAACGTAATTAATCTGAACGTGCTTTAATAATTAAATGTGACACCATTAACAACACAAATTACGCATATAGGGTCTGTAATATACTGATCATAGTAACCAACAATAACTATATCTTTAAACATTTCCAACTTAGATATCATTGTAAACCTGTTAAATGCTTTAAACATAATGACCTACATAACTACAAGTACGTGCAACAAAAATGATAGGGGACACTATAACCGTGTCTGCAACAGAATCACAATGGAAAAGGAGTCAATACAACCATGTACTACGACAAGTATCATCCTAGACGTTGCCATTTATAATGATTGATTGATTGTTCTTCGTCGAAAGACAGTGAAAAATATTTCAAGCACATTCTGGTCGAGATCAAAACTAAGCACCTAGTTGATCA